GAGTTCGACTTCGGTGCTGCGCAGACCATGCCGCTGCGCGGGGTCTTGGGCGGGAGCGTCTATGCGAAGACGCTGCGAAAGCAGGCGTGACTGGGAGCGTGGACGGTTGTTGTGAGCAGATGTTAGATGTGAGATCGATTTCGTCAGGAACAACCACGTGATAGAACGTGTTGAAAGCGATTTCGAGTAAAAAGGGTTTACTCATAGAGGGGCAGAGTAGGGGCAGCATGCGACTGAAGTGTCCGCATGTTGGAGTTTGGCGATAAAGAAGTCAAGCACTAAGTAGTTTTTGTTGTTTCAGTTTGTGTGACCTAGTTATCAGTGTGTTACAGGGAGGTGACCACATAAACCGTCCATGTTTCGAACGTTTAAATGATAAGATCCCTTTGATGAAGGCTCTCTTCCAGACACACTGCTCTCCAGAATGGTTACTTGTAGATGTTTAGATTCTTCTGCAGGGTTCCACGAACCAAACATGCAGGTTGGGTTGGGAGTGAGTCATTTCTGACAGAAATCAGAGAGTGCCTGAGCAAGGACCCAAGGTGACAGAACAGGCACCTGGTAGATGAACAGTGAGAAGTTGTCTGAAGAACTCGCTAGTAGGTTGGAGGCCATCGCTCTTAGTAAAACTTAGGTTGGAGGCCATCGCTCCTAGGTTGGAGGCCGTCGCTAGTAGGTCCACAAGTACCAAGGCCTGAAAATCCTGAAGTTCTAGTCCTTTCGCGTCCAGTTTTTGTGTCTTAAGGAAACGGCAGCAAGGAAGACATGTTCCCAGAGAGACCGAACCACAAGAATGGATAGAATGCAGCAGGATGCGTTTTAAAAAAAAGATCTTACATCGCTGATGTTGTATTCACTCTAAAACTTTGTTCGCTGGGGATTCTGTAGAGGTGAAGTTGCAGATGGTTGGGATCTAGATCTTTGAGCACCTTCGATCCCGAGATGCACGTGCCTGGCGCAGGTGTCTGCAGCGGCCAAAGAGGAAGGCAGCGTGATTATCTTCGGAGAGCCCGGTGCACCGTTCGCATACGTTTTAGATTGTAGTGGATGTTTATGGAACTTCCATGATCATCATTATCTGTATATATCTATCTGAATAGCTTCAGAAGTTTCAGAACAAGATAAGGTAGTGGTTGAAATAGATTTGTTACTGTTGTTTATTTGGGGAGGGGCGCCATCAACCTCGAAATTGCCTTTAGAATCGCTTCGACTGCCCTCCAATGAGACGACAGGCAAGACCTTCATGATGAGCCACTTTCTATATATATACAATATACAGGGTTTTATAGCTAAGGGCTAGGCAGTCCTGTGGTTTGTTCTTTAGTTCCACCAGCGGACAGCCGCCTTCTTTTCAACTCCCAACATCCAAGATGTGGCTTTGGGCCGAGCCCAGGGCCTGAGGGTGTCGGCTTGCCGAAAGAGCATACCAAACAATCCCAAACACGACACGACAAATGGGACTGATATATAGTATATTTGTGCATGTATTTTATTTATATATACTGCGGCAGTTGACCCCTGAAACCAGCCCAATGTAGGCAGTGATGCCAGTCCCATGGAGTGTCGGGGAGTGATCCAAAGACGCCTGGAAAGCATGGCCTCTGAGGAACTAAAAAAGATATGTTGGCCTTCCTGATACACTTTCAAAGGTGCCTTGGATGGCAAGAGGAATCCCACAAAACACCTCCGGATTCGGTTGGAACATTGGAATCCAGGTGATGTCGGGGACTTTGGGACTTCTGTCAATCGGTGCATCGAACATTAGAGATGCAGCCTGCCGTTGCAAAAGCTGAACTTTGCCGTCACACAGAGGATTTTCTGTGATTTGAACATTAGGTGCTTTCAAACTAATTGCTATGCGACACCAGTTTCAGAACCTGCAACGGATCCAATCGCCGAGGCTCCGCCGCGTCCGCCGCGGCCGCTTGCTCTTCGTGGACAGCGGCACCGTCAGTTCGCTGGGCGTGCGCATCTTCGGGCGCACGTCTTCGGCGGGGCTCCTGGACTCCGTGCCGGAAGGCGCCGCCACGCGGCGGCGGCCGTTTGCCCGTTTGGGAGATGGCGGGATGGGTCAAAAAAGGTGGATTTGGCGGTGTGGAGAGGTGGGGCAGCCGAGGAGTGGACATTGTCACTTGGAGTTGTCCCTGACAGTGAAGGATTTTAGGGGAATTATCATGTTGTCTATACTAGGGCCACCAGGGGCGACATGTCTCGAGTTGGTTTGACTTGGCGGTTGGCACTGTTTTCTCGAGATCAACCTCAACTTGGCCATACTTTGCCAGGAATCTTGTGTCTTTGCAACCAGCTCTTTTCCATTATCCAACCAGCTCTTTGAAGGCTGGCCTCTTTATGCTCAAGTTCTGGAGCAACTTCAGGGATTAAAGGCTAAGAGCTATATAATCATTTAGTCATCAACCGCAATAATTCCTCAAGAATTGGACAATGCACTTCCCAAAACATGAACTTCCAAGAACTTTTTTTGTGGGCATGAAGCGGCGATGGGAAAGTGATGAGTCAGATAGTTCTGACTCTGACTCAAGCTCCGATGGAGAATCTGATGAGTCAGAATCTGAATGGCTGACCCCGAAGCAGAAGAAGTACTTGGAGATTGGAGACCTCTTCTTGAAGAAAGGTGGACTACAATGGTGGTTCCACAGCTTCGGTGGGCCCTTCACATTTGCCTCTGATTGCCGCTTGTCACTATGAAGTCTTGGTGTCATTCGTGTTCCCCCACGTCATCCCATGTCCATCAATTCTTTCATCCATGTAAGGCAGCGGAGCGGATACACCTCTGATGGCGCTTCGCATGCTCTTCGAGGCTGCTGGAAGAAAGGATGATTTGAAATACATGTCATGGCCTTAGGTGTACCTAGGCAATTGCTTCATGGTCAATGAACAATTGACCTTTTTTTTTTTAAGGTCAGCCAGTGAAATCAAGAAGGCTCCCTACAAGTTCTTGGAGAAAAATTTTTCCTGCGAGCAGTCTCTTGGCATCACTAGACATGAAAGAAACTGCAGCTGAAAAGCGGGCTCTCTGGCAAACCAAGGTTGTCATCCAATGTATTTACCAAACCAGTAAAGTGGTTGCAGGACAAGGCACAAACCTTGCTTTGTGGTCACTATCCCCAACCTCATATCCATCAAGTAGCTGATCCGAAAGCCTGTGTGCAGGTCCTATGCTACACTGCGGGGTTTCCATGCACACCGTATAGCACCTTGCACTGGAACTCCAAGCTCCTATCTGATCCACATGCAAGACAATTGCTGAAGGTTCTTGGAAATGTAAAGACCATGAAACCCGCAGAGTCTCAGCTGCCATCAGTCTAGCTTCACTTTGTCAGCACGCCCGAGCATGCCTACTCTAGCAGGAGCATTGCTACCCTTAGTGCGCCTACTCTCAAGCCAAGGTGGCATTGCTCGAGAATGTCATGGGCTTTCAACGCTGCTACCCGAAGATCCATGCCCTCATCGAGCGCAACTGCCCCGAGCCTTTTAGCTAAACTTTAAGAAATGCTTCCACAGTGTAACATTGTAACCAAAACTCATGAACTTTCAACCAAGGTATGGCATTGCAGCAGTGATCATGAACCCGTGCCTTATCTTTTTGAGTGTGGAACTGGAACGCAACAACCATTGAGTCGTTGAAGGGAACAGTGTGAGACTGAGGTATCGCTATGGGGCCCCAATATCTCGAAGGAGGATATTTATCTTCCTGGTCCGGGGGGACATCATGAATGATGAGGCAAAGAACATGCCCCTGGATGAGTTCCTGCAGAAGACCTTGCGTAAGATGCACATGTGGCCTGAGTGTGACTGGTTTCATGGTCGCAAAACAAAAACAATAGCCAACAATTCTCCACCACAATTGGTTCCTTGTTCTTTCTATGTTGTAAATAGTCACAGCCTACTATCCAAACACTGAGGCTGGATTTGCTCCTGCCAGACTCCCACCCGGAGGTTCAGAAGGATATGCAGGCCAGGAGCCTCCGAAGAACAAATGCACTGAAAAGGAGTCTCAGCAACAAACTGGTGGCAGGTTACAATTGCTGTGAAAAATTCTTTACATTCCAACAATTGAGGAAGATTTCCAAGAAGAGCAAGTGGTTCCAACGCCATCGTGAATGGGCCAGATTGAACAAGGCCATTTATTGTTCTTTCAAGTGTATGCCATAAACCGTAAACAAAAAATGTGTTTCTGGTTGAGGTGAGCATTCGAGCAGCAAAGGGCGCCTTCCAAAAGAAATGGCCCAAAGCAGCAAGCATGGTGAGCACCTGGCGAGAGATAGAGGCTTGTGTTTGATGTTCCTTGAATGGGTGCCATGCCAACTTCAGTGTGTGGAGGCTCTTGATCTACAAACTACATATGGGTGGGATGATGACTTTGTGGCCAACACATCCCAGAATCTGGACCAAATGCCAATTTGTTCGGAGGACAAGCCCATCATGTGCCTCACGTGCTTATCTCATTTGGGGTGGCAGGAAGCAGTCCTTTGATAATTTTCAGGTTCACTTACAAACCTCTGACCATGTTGCCAAGGCCAAATGGATCCTACCTATCAACATCCAAAGGGCGTTTTCTGGTTGGCAAAGAAATCATGCTGCTCATGGGAGTTCCGCTACACCAGTATGACACATCCTTCCTGAGCAACCGGGAAACCTGGCCTACCTTGTACAATGTCAGCTTTGTTTTACCTCTATGGAAGAGTTTGTGATGAACTGTGGAACTCAGGAACAACATGCTATTGCAGGAAATGCCATGGCTTTGCGGGCAGTGATGCCCGCTTTATGTGCAGCGCTTGCTGCAACTTCCCCAAAGAAGCTCCAGCTCATGCTCAATGGGAAGTTGTAATTCATTGTGAGCTGATGTCGCAACTTGGAAAAGTGTTCAACTTGATTTTCAACATGTTCCATAGCTCCACCCTGCATGTGAGACAGTACAAAATGCAAGCAGTGTGTCACATTCACATGTTGGAAGTCTTTTTGTAGCATCTAAATTCAAGATGCCAATCCTGGCCCGGTGGGAAAGCGACGACGACGATGAATCCGAGCCGGAGACTGGACAGAAGCAGGCCTGGCGTTACGACACCTCATCCAATGAAGAGCACCTTGCCTGCAATCCGTTGGCTGTAAACAAACACCCAGTGGTCGTGCACACAAACCTTCAAACCTTAGGGAGGAGTCTACATCTCAAAGCGGTGAACATGACAGCTCTGACGCTAGCACCGATTCTGAGCTCTCTAGCTCTGATGAGTCTCATGATCATGGTGATACTCCGCCAGAAGTGTCTTTGTCTCTACACCGCCTTCAATCGCTGCATGCAAATGACAGTGGGCAATGCAGTTCGTATGCGGAGAGGGGGAAGTCTGTCTCCAGATGCAAGCATGTGTTGAAGCACCCGCCATGCAAATGCAGGTGCTCCCTCCCTTTGAGGATTTTGGTGGCAATCTGCAATGCTTTTTGGAACTTGTCCAAGCCCTGCCAGGATTCACTGTTGTGGTCCATCCAGTTGGAATCCGGCCCTGGTTTGAAGAAGAAGTGGAGCTTGGGAGGATTCCATCTGTGCCGTGAGTCTTGGTTGTTTTTCCTAGGTGTGGGGAAGCACCGGGTTGCAAGGTGCAAACGGAAGTTCCATGGTACTGACCTTCGGACTCTCAATGGCCCAGGAGGACCATTGGAACAATAAATGTTGAACGGTGAGTTGATGTTTGGTACCTTAGCCAAAGACTACTACTGGTTGATCCCTGGAAGGACCCTCATCACATCCACCTTTGAAGGCTACATCTGTAGAGGCTTTCTTTGTCCACATATACTTCAGTGCTGGGGAGACTGTGGCCAACCTGTGACTTAGTTGAAGCATTGTTCAGTGCAGCATGAAAAGTTCACAGTGCAACATTGTTATCCAAACATTCTGAGGGGCTCACCGCAGTGTATGATCGATCAGTCAGAAAAGAAGCTTCGTGAAGACTTGTTGGAGAAGCTGATCGACAACAAATTGACAGGTCCGACCTTACAGATATCATTCCACTGCAATCCTGACCAACTCCCTGAAAAGAAACTCCCCCATGGCAATTGGGCGAGCCTCTATGTGCTCTACAGAGCATATGCTGATGTTCAGGGGGAGGAGGCAGCTGGGAAGAGTGTCTTCTACCGTGTTGCGAGGAAATGGAAGGCTTGCCTCAGGTTTCATAAACCATCGATGCACAGCGTATGCAAAACATGCGCTACGATCAAAGCCCAGATTGCACAGTCTGTTGCATCTCGGCTGGGCAATGTTCAACAGTAAGCAACTGCCTGACTGGAGCTTGTATCAACAAAACCAGCCTAAGGACTTTGCCCAGCAAGCTGTGCTTTCAGCACAGTTGCTTTCGCACTACTCGGCCCAGTGGAAAGACAGGCAGATATATTGGATGACCCGCACCCGCTCCCGAACAGAGCGGGACATACTGAGCAACATCATTGACTCATTTGACCACTCGAAGGTTATGTTGCCCCGGTTTCCGGGAAAGAGGACGCCCAAATCCTCTGTGTATGACTCCTTGAAACGTGCATTGCACGCATTGGTGATTGCACCGTCCGGTATTTCACTTTGATCTTTGAACTCTGGACAGCCAAGGTACGCAGCTCAATCTCACATGCAGCATCTGCCATGGCTATGGCATTTACTTTTTCCTGTCAGATGAAGGCTGTGTTGCTGGAGCTAATTGGGCAATGGAAGTGGCGCCTCATATCAATAGTTGGTTGTTTGTGAAAATTTTGTGAATAGCGCTGTGCTTTTGATGTAGTGTCAGGCATTGAGATCGATAGATTACAGCTGGGAGTACGCAAGGAGGCATGGATTCAGCTTCCCATATGAGCAGCCAAGTGTAATTTCAGACAAGGTTTTGAGTCTCTCTCTCATGGCCCAATCCTGCAAACGCTAATTCAGCCAAGGTATTGGCAGCAGGGGGACAATGCTGTCAAAGAAGTCAGAAATGCTCCAATGCACAAGATGTTCTGCCTATTAACGCAGCAGGGTTACTTCACCCAATGCACTGGAGCTCACCTGGAAAAGGGACACACCCACGAGGATGTAGGTGGGGGTGAATGCCTTGAACAGTGAACTTCACAACCAGCTTCAGTATGTTTCATTGAACAATGTCCTGGTTGCAGATGCTGCCTTCAGCGTCGTCACTGCAGCATTAAACGCCTGCCAAGATCTTCAGTCTCCAAGAGATATCCAAAGGACCGATTCCTTCTGAGTACTTTTTTGGAACTGCAGAGCAATTTGTAAAATTTTGCAGGGCAATTGAACACCGGGTTGCACCATTATTCAAGAAGCATGACATGGAGTGCATCGTTGACTTGGTGGAATCAGCCCCTCTCCTAAACCGTGATTCTTTTGATGTTAATGTTGACTGCTTTGGTTGCCATGCAGCCCTGCCCAGGTCCATGACTGGGGCAAGATCATGCCATCGGATGTCCATTTGTGGAATGCTTACAAAGACAGGAAGCAGCAGCCAGGACAGCCGCAGATGAAAGTGCCTCAGCAGTTCACCTTCATCAGAAGGTCTGATATGCCATCACATGGCCACCTGATGCCGACAGAGGAGAGGTTGCCAACCCGACTTCGGAATTGCAGTGAGCTCAACGATGTGTTCTGTCTCACCAAGTTGAGGATGTCAGATGAGTATTTATGCCAAGATCCTCTGTTGGTTTTTCCTCATGGGTTGTGTGGGGCAACACGGCACTTCTGGTCGCGAATTAGCTCTCCAGACTCTGTGCTGCCATTGCTTCACCCTAGCTTGGATGAGGGTCGTTGTCAAGAGCTTGATGCACTTGGCAAACAGCTGGTTACTGACTTCCCCCATTTTCAACGTACGGCAGCCTACTATCAAAAGCTGGCGAATCAGTCTTTTGACAGAAGGCCTCCACGCCGCTTTCAATTTGTGAATGCAGGGCCAACAGCAGATCAAAGGATTGGCCAGGTCACGCTTGGTGCGGAGCCTGTAGCACCAAAGCCTCACAAGCTCAAAGTCACTTTTCGCAGGCGTCCGGACTAGGGGTAAACTGCAGAAGAATGCAGCTTTGACGGGGAAGAGTCCACGCTTGTTGGAAAAGAATGCATTACTTTGGTGCAAGATGTCGCAACCTGCCTAGTTCTGTGCGCTTGCAAATTGATGCATGCATGGGGGGGCAAGCTTTGTGTAATTAGGTTTTCCACTCAAGGCACAACCATGCTTGTATCGTGCATATGATGTCATGATACAAATGATACACAGTTGACATACATATCATAGACTTACAGTTACAGTTGTGCTAGGGTTTTTGTGCCTTCTCATTTTGTGACCATGGCCTTGCCTGACCTTAGCGCAGAAAAGCCCTTGGGTCAACTTTGCAGCTACTTTGAGACTGCCACAAACTTAGTTTTACCCAACAAACATGCGGCAGCAGAAAGCAAACTTTCTCAGTCAGGTCCTTGACAAAACCAATTTGGGCGACCACATCAACAAGGTCTTTGCAGACAGGGCTCTCTTTGAGACGGTCTGAGCCTTGGCAATTCTAATGGCTGGACATGTCAAAACATAATGTTCTTGTCAGGTGGTCAGATCCTTGATTGTGGACCGCTTTGACTCGTCGGGCGACCGCCCCACTTTGTCATTGGTTCCTCAAGAAAGCCTTCAAGAGTTTTGGTTGCCCCTTCATCTCTTCGACATTGGGCCTGGTGGCAAAAATGGATGCCTGGTGTTGCCAAACAAGTACTCAAACAAGTATATAAGCACGTATTCAATCAGTGAGGCCCCCAAACATCATGTGTTTCAGTATTATGTTTATATTGTCTTGTTCAAGCCCTGGCAGTCTATCCGCAGAACAGCCAGTTTGGCAAGTTCTTCCGGGAGTTTCTCCGCGGCTATGTGCCTCGGGAGGTTGTTGAAGTCAAATTCCCATATGCCACCAGTGATCGCCTCATCGCCACTGCAAGCATTGGCTTCATTGATGGACAAACTAAAATCCTGTTGATGGTGGCAGTTTGCGCTTTCATCTATGAATTGGAGACTTGGTCTTGACAATGGAACACACCTTGTCTTTTGAACCACTTTCTTGAGCATTACACTCCACACTCCACTGCATTTGGCTGAGGAGTGGACTGACGACAAAGAGCTTTCCGATCCAGATGTGGTGTCCATGCTGCGCTCCTTTCGATGGATCAGGTGCAGCTTCACGTGCTACTCGAACCCAACGATGTTCCATCTCCAGTCGTTGAGAAACTTGGCAAGTCAATAGTAAGGAAACTGCTGCTTTGCAAATCAAGGCTATAGTAAGACCGGTAAGATGTCATCCATTCATTGTTGTCGCTAAGGGATTGGACACATCACCGCGGAGAAGGTCACGCCGAGTGCCATTACATGTATGGCCGATTTGCGAATGGCCATGGACCTTGAACGACGTCAAGCAAAATCAGGTGCTCGATTGGCGACCAAGGACTTGCTCAACAAGGTCTGTGCTGAATACAACCGTTTAGTGACTTTGAAGTCCCATCGCATAGACCAGCAGAAGAAGACCCTTTGCTATAACATGTTGCTAGATTGCACCTGAAACACAAATGCTATGAATGCTAGAACTTTGGCCATTGACCAAACCTAGGTTGCGGGCACCCGATCGAGCTCACCAGTTGATCCATGCACACTACGACAACTACACTCACACAATATCTGGACCAGGGTTTCACTGCAAATCGAAAAGGGGAGGGAGCATTGAACATATCCTAATCACACCCTGAGAGGACTTCCGAGCGATATTTTGACATTGGACTTCTGGGTGCCACAAAGTACATCGAGAATGGACAGTCCTCCATATGTTGGCAAGCCATTGTATCGGAAGATCCTGGAAGTGACCGAGCACACGACCATTCTTTGGCTGGAACGAGTGATTCAGGAGAATTCTCACACATGTTTGTGCCACCACTGCGTCCAACAAGTATTCATGCAGGATTTCACTCGCTCTGTGAGCCGTGATGCCACCAACAAAGCCAAGGCTGGTGAAACGTTGAATGTTTTTTAGAATATTTGAAGTGAAGATTGAGGGAATGTCTTTCCACTGCCACCAGAAATCCGCCCAACTGACCGAGCAACAGCACTTGCTCCTCTTCGATACATGCTGCCTGTGGTTGCACCTGGAGCCACTGATGGAGGGCGAGTTTCCCACATCAGTTGTGGAGCGCCACAAGGAGCTGTTCATGAAGGGGACTCTTGGCTTGTTCATGAAGGGCTGTTGATTCAACCTATCATCCATTTGGCTGCAGCCGACCACTTGTGATTGGTTGGCTGCAGCCGACCAATTGTGATTGGGTTTCCAGAAACCACGTCACTTTCTGAACACCTCCCTTGGCCGCCGCCAAATCAATCATTCCCAGATGTCTGCCTCCAACACAGAATTGTGATGTGGTTTCCAGAAACCCGATCACAATCCGGATGTTTGTCGGGGGTACACATCATTTGTCAAATGATATGCGCAATATTTGATCTTTGATTGATCTAGTTTTTCTTTATGAAATTGTGATTGGGTTTCTGGAAACCCGATCACTTTGAGGGAAGTGAAAACCAGGTGCTGAGTGTGATTGATTCTGCTGGGAAAATTAGGAAGCACCCAAAACACAGAAACTGGTGAACCACATTTTTTTGGGAAGCTAGTTCAGTGAATGAAAGGGTTCAAGTTAAGGTCATTGGATGCAGACTTGCAAGCGGTGATGAAAGCAGCATCGGATGATTTTGATTGGAAGCGCATCAACTTCGTGTTGGAGGCCCATGACATCAACTGCAAAACTCCATAGGTCTCGAAATGCACATGTCCTGGATAGGAGACTATAAAAGAGATATGGTATGTGCATTCATTTTCATTTCAGTTCTTGTCAATAATAATAGATAAAACAATAATTCCATAAATGACATGAGCACTCATAACTGTCAAACCGTTCTCAAGTCAGTGCCACAAATCCCATGAATGAGGTTCGAGGGGCGACAATGGAACAATTCATCAACGAAGCACAAGATCGGCAGCGCAGTGCCGTCAGCAAATCTCTCCAAGCTGCTTTCATGGCGTGGCAGGAGCAGCTTCAAACCGATCAAATCCAATATGAGCAAGTGCAAATCTTGTCACTGGGTTGCCAATAGTAGAGTCTATGTCCATGAAATCTTGAACTGGGTTGGGTGTGGGGTTCTTGAAAACTTATGGGCCTCGACTCAACTTCTCCCCAATGTCAATGTCTGAACGACATCAAGTCACATCAAGGTCTTGCATGAACCCTGTACAGTTTTGATAGCGAGCCCCCTTCCTCAAGGAACCCTTGTGGGATTGGCATAAAGATGGGGTGTGCCTACCAAACCCTGCCAACATCATCCAAGACGCGCCCAAGCCATCCAACGGCACACTCGCATTGAATCAAATCACCTGAGGCAGGAAAAGTCCCAGGCAAAGCAACGCGCCAAGCTGTTGCGCCAGCTTGAGGACATTGCAGTTCCAACATGTTGCTGGTTCTTGTTTGATACCCCGAATCCATCTTATTTGTTTTTGAACCAACTGGTAGGAGCAGCATACACGAGCATGGCAAGCAGTTCAAGACTACATGTCGTCTACACTGACGCTCTTTACAGGAAAGGCCCATGATGCAGTGGGAACAGTCATGCCTGGAGTCTGCGAGTGGGTAGAACAGACCTTTCAGGATTTGACTGATGTCCGTGAAACTGACGACCATGGTGTGATTGTCTGGGCAAATATGCCAACAGCTGGAATCCTTGGAGCCCATAAAAAGGATTGGTGCGTGACCTTCCTAGCCAACGTGCTGCAGAAGTTCAAGCGCAACTCCATTGCTGTCTTGGTACACACCAACAGGGCTGCTCAAGCTTCTCCCGGGAGCGGTTTTTTTTTCAAAGCTTTGGAGTGCAGCTCAACTCATGTTGTTAAAACCGGAGTCCAGTTTCTTCACAAATGGTCCATTCAAGAAGAACAAGCTTCAACCTTTGCTGATTCTGGCAACCCTGACAAGGAAGGATGCAGACAAGAGCACAAAGGATGAGGATGAGAAAATGAAGTATGAAAAGAAAGAAGAACCGGATGACGATGATGAAGCTTCGCATGAAAGTGTGGAAGGACAAGCGGAAGATGCCGAGGTACGTGATGTGCGTTACCAGTTGGAGATGCTCAGCAGATCTCAACACCATACCAATATGAAACATAGTAAATTGACATTGAGCAACTCCTGCAACCCCTCTTGGCTCTCTTGGCACTGAATTGGTGTGTTTCTATTGATCCCTGCACTGCTTTCTATTGATCCCTGTACTACTTATTGGTCTCTTTGCTTCTATCTAAGGAAGGCCCTATCTATGAAGGAATTGAACCTCCAGATTCGGCCTTTGACCTTTGTGTTCGATCCTGCAGCTTGGCATTCCAAGGGTTGTGATATGAGTCTTTTGAACCATTGTGGTTCCAAGAGTTGTTGGGGCAGCTTGGCAATTAAATCCCAGTATATACATCCAAGGAAAGCATTTATGGAAAGAGGGATGGAACACTACCAGGGCTCCTCATCGTCCACAAGTCCAATGACAAGGGCGCCAGCAACATATTTAAGACTTCCATGGCATGGAAGCAGGGAGTGATCCGTGAGGTGAAAATGCTCCCCCGGAATGAGATGTGGCGCCCCCAGGAGCCTTGGTCAAGAATTCAAACACCTACTTTTTACTCCAAGCTTTACTTTAAGCCAACATCCTCAACATCGGCCAACCCATCCTCGCCTGTATAAGGAATCATCATCCAAGAAAGGATTACCTCACCTGGGGCGAGCTATGACCGACATCCAAGAACTGCGACAGGACACCAAACGTGGTTGTACAGTCAGTGTTTTTATATTATACTGAATCATGAATCATGGTGGAGTTGTTTAGTCTCTGCATGTCTCTGCACTGCTTCTCTTTCTTGCCCATCCCTCAAACCTTGCAAGGTGGCAGCTGGTACAAGCATCTTGCGACAGTCGATGAAGGCGCTACTCCCCAGCTCAGTCTCAACGACTTTGGTCTTGGATATCTTGGGGTTCGATGGATTCCCAAGTCTGGCTTGCTTAGAGGAGTATGGGGTTGCTGTTTCACTGCATGAAATGTTCCTCCCTGACCCGCCCTCTTGTTCTTGGCATCTGGGCATCTGCGCAGGAGAACATGGAGGGAAGCAAAACTATGTGCGCCACAGTTGTCCTGGATGCGGATGCCAGTGATCTGAGCAACCGCATTGGAAATGAAGTGTATCATGCTTGCAGGTCGGGAGCACTCCGTCTACCAAATTTCCCCGAGTTTGAGGCAGTCATCAGTGCGCTCAAGAATGTGAGCAACCAACATGTCCCGCGACCATACAAGGTTTGCACCCATACTGGATCTGGTCTAGCAGTGCTTCAGGTGTATGCGCAGAAGTGGCTCGATGATGAGAACACTCGTGACAAGGCCAATGCTTTGATCGAGGACCACAACCAGAAGTTCAATGCCAATGGAGAGTTTGTGCAGGCTGACACCCCAGCCAGGACTTGTAGCCTAGAAGTGCAGCTTTTCCACCCAAATGCTGAATTCTTGAATGGGCTACCGGAAGCAAAACTGATCACTATTAGTTGGTTCAAAAATCACATCACACCACAGTACCGCTTTACCTGGCCTCCAGGACAAATGAAGCACAGGAGTCACCTGCCAAAAAACTCAAGATCGAGGAGGGCGACAAATGCACCGAGCAGACTATCTCAAGCCTGGTGAACCCGTGCCCTGTTTGCCATGTTTTCAACATTTTCAAGTCTTTCTAAACGAGTGTCAAACCAGAATCCAGAATCCAAACCACATGTAGTGCAGACCTGTTCACTTTCACAGTTCCACCTGACCGCGAGGCACAAATTCAATATCAACAACACTGCGGAGCTGATCACTTGCGGTGAAGGCTTGACTCTTTATTTGACATCCAAAGGCAAGAATGACTTCATGCCACATCGTGAGATGCTCCTAGACAGCAACAAGATCTGTAAGCCTATATGTGAATCTAGAGCATACAAAGTGTAGATTGATAGAGTGGCATGTTCATTGTATGCTGAGGTTTTCCTTTGGTGCTGGTGAATGGAGATCTGGCAGTGAAGCTTGTCACAAACAAACATGTTCAAGGTTCGAGCATTCATCCTACAATACAATGACTATCAACGACTATTCTGTGTTGGAAAGGCCACCACATGCAAATGTTCCAATGTAAGGAAGCTACGGAAGTCATGGCAGATGCTGCTGGACGATGGTTCAAGTTTGCGGCTTCCTATGACACCATCGTTGTGCTGGAAAGGAAGGAGCTACCAGAACATGTGATGCAGTGTCCATCAGTAGAACGCCCAGTGATGATGAAGAAACTCATGCAGCAGCTGGAAGATGCTGGGGAGGCCTAGGTTTACTTGAGCTTTCAAAAAACCCTTGAATGCTATTCCCCTCAGTCATGGCAGTAATGGTGCTTCAGTCGAGGACAAAAATCAGTCAATACCCCACGGACCTATTCTCATTTTGATTATAATTAAGTATTATTATGTTTCTTCTTCCCTGTCAGGTAAATGTGAAAATCTTCCACCACACCATCTCTTCGCCTGATGATGGTTCTCCGGCAACAATCACCCCAGACAAGCCGCTTTGCTTCCTGCTCGATGAGCTCAAGGATCCGGAAGAAAAAAAAACAAAGGGTAAAAAAACCAAGAAGAAGAAGGATAAGGACAACCAACCTACAGTCAAGAACTTTGGCAGCCGCTTGAACATCAACAAGCTGAAGGGTGTCTCAAAGCTCATCATTGGCTGGAGAATCAGGCCTGTTCTTGGGGTTGGGTCTTTGCACAGTATTTTATTAAATGCAGGTTGCACTCCCATGTGTTGCCACACCATACTGACCATACTGTATATATGTCCAGCTTTTGTGCATGGTCCATCTGAGGCTGGATACCGCGGAAGGCAACAAATCAGTGACGCCGATTCGCCCTATTTGCTGCCTCGCTGGAGGGCTGGATCTTGATGGCAGCAATGTGCGCCTGATGTAGGTCAAGGCCAGAGTGGAACACAAAGGCCAGTAGTTGTGGGGTAGCTGGTGAAGGTGGCTGGAGGCCGGTCAAACCATTTTGAAACATTCTAACAAACATTCCCAAATCGAATCTACAATCTACGCCAATGCAATAGAATCCACCCCGATTACTTGTGATTGACTTCCACTCGCCTTCAGCTTGGGGCAGAGGTTCAATGTGACCTCTACGGTTTTGGGAGATGACATCCTAGGAAGGTCTGGGTTGCTGATTGACAGCAATGATCCCAGCCCAGTGCTTTGGCAAGAAGAAGCATTGTCTTTGTTACTTTGGTGCAACTTGATATCCATCTATATACACTGCACAGGGTACCGTCCATGCGTCATGTTGCGTCCACCCAAAGCAACAAAGAAATAACTGCCTAGCGCACAATTGGGAAAGTGATTGCGCACAATTTGTGCAGGAAGGCTCAAGCTTGCTCTGCTCAACGTTGCCCAAGTCATAGTTTAGGAGCCATGACTGATGCGGGTGATTATAGCAGTGATGTGGAGGTGGTCACTCCAAAAGCCACATTCAGACCCCCGGTCTCTTGCCATTGTTTGGAAACACTGCTCTAAACCATGTGCATCACATACCGTCAGTGTTATCACAGTACCCCCCACAAGCTGTTGATCTAGGCCTTCAACCTGCAGAACCTCTTCGATGAGCAGGCCTTGATGTCTGGGCCAAAGGCGAAGGCAAAGTCCAAGGCAGCCACTCGATCTGCTGCTTCTTCTTCTTCAAAAGCAATGCCTGCGCCAAAAGCTGTCATCAGCAACTTGAAAAGAGATCCAGGTTATTGTTGACTGGATTGATTTTGTTGGGCAATTGTTTCAGGCTGACTCCAAATCACAATCCTCAACCAAGGTAACACCTCTCTATCTGGACAGGGTGGTGGCCTACCACGAGTCACTGATACAGAGTCATCACTGACGGGAAGTGGTGGGGAGAATGTGGAAGATCCTACAGTGAAGAAACGGCCAAGCCAGAAAGGCAAGAAAGAAAAACAACGCGATACAAAAAAGAAACCTCGGAAGGGTGACACACCAGATGCAGATCACACTCCCCTTGGCCATAGTGACGGTGATGATGATGATGATGAGGGTGATGATGGAAGCTTTGGCCTCGAGGGGATGGATGACATTTTTGGTGCAAACACAGACAGTGGAGAGCCAGCCAAGAAGCCAGCTACCAGGCAACTTGGGTTTCTATGAAATTGTGTATATATACAACCTTGTGAAATCCATTTAAAAGGACATGCAACCTCATGCGCGCATGTCAGGAACGGTGGACGTGCATCTATGAAAAAGCCATCGAAGTCGGCAAACGAGGTGCCATCCACACTAATGGTTCAGTTCTCTTTTGATTGATGACTTGGAGGCAATCCCTTTCAGCCACCTGATCGAAGACGCCCCTACCAAATCTGAAGAGGAGAATGCCATCTGGAGGCAGGAGTGCCCGATCTTTCTCTAGAGCCTGCTTATATTTAAGTATAATCTTATATTTGTTCACCATTTTGCCTGATGTTTCGATGCCAAACCACCTTGAATTTCTGGCAGGGAGATTCATGACCTGAATGCACAAATCGCCGAGCGGGAGAAACAGAATAAGGCAGGGCAATGCAATGTTCCTGGCGGGCCTGAACATACTCAGGAAGGTGTGCCTACTTTTGGAGAAGGCCACTATGAGGATGAGCTCAATGGAATGCCACATCATGAGGAGATGGAGCACCCTGCGGCTATCGAGCCTGATGAGGCGATGGAGCACCCTGCGGCTATGGAGCCTTATGAGGCAATGGAGTACCCTGTGGCTATGGAGCCTGATGAGGTGATGGAGCACCCTGTGGCTATGGAGCCTGATGAGGCGATGGAGCACCCTGCGGCTATGGAGCCTGGGACTACACCCTTGGAGAACACAACAGGGGAGAACTTCCTTGAGCCTCCGTTTCTGCAACTTCCTTGGCATGCTATGTTGTTGCAAACGTGTTGAACAGTATGGATCAATTCTAAAGCTTTTCAATGGATTGTTTGATTGATCGAGGTCGCAAGTCTATGAGGTACCTCATCATCAGGATATTTTATATGTGGAGGAGAGTCCCCTTACTCTGATTGACACCCCTCAGGCAAACCGATGTCCTACTCCTGACAACCAGCTGGGTTTGAGCAGTAGTGCAGAATCAAAACCTGAAACTTGACAAGAAATGCAATCATGCAATTTGCACTTTAAACCGGAAACTTGAAAGAACATTAAAAAGACTAAGAATTAAACAGAAAACCAAACAACTACACTGGCCACATATTCAAAGTTGCATGGCTCAGGATCTACGACGTATGAATGCTTCCGATGACTTTGCTGGCCTTCTCAATGATGAAGAGGCCGTCCCATGGCACAGTGCATATGTTCCACTATGTTCCATATGGCACGTCCCATGTTGCAATCTGAATATGTTCCAGTACTAGGTCCATGAGAATACAAACACACTGCATGTCATTGATATGTTTATTACGTTTGCTTCTTGCTGAAGGTCATTCAAAACTCCAGAATCCAATGCACCTGGCCATGAAACGGATCTTGAGGCCAGCCTAGTCTTTGGGTGTTGGTGAAGTGACTTGATTGGAGCTACCAGCTAAGTTCCCCCTTCAACCTTCAAGGCTGTGGTCCGTGTGGATGATTCTTCGATTCAGGCTTTTTGTCTTGAATACTCTGTCTTTGAAAGGCTGCCAGCTAATCATACTTAGCTAGAACCTCTAATGTATAAATGTTGTGGAGTTCAATGATGGTTCAAATCAATGAAACGAAACCTATCAACATTATATGTGTCTATGATTGTCTATGTCTATGTCTCTCAATGATATGTTCATTGTTGAGCACACTCCCAGCGAGGAACGAGTGGCCTTGACCTTGCCATCAGCGCCTGTCCCGAAGCCAAAAGCAGCACCCATGAAAAGGCCAGCAGCCAAGGCCAAAGCAAAAGCAAAGGCCAAGGCAAAATCGAACTCCAAGAATGGAAAAGCAAAGAAGGTGGCGGAAGGAAAGAAGAGGTCGAGGGCAACTCCTTCACCGAAGCGCAAGCCAGCAAGGAAGCCCAAAACAGAGTTGCAAAAAAAACTTCACTCTGCACCTTGCAGGCAAGTTTACTGTCTGAGTTATTGGGTCCATCTTAATCTTGGTTGTGAACTTGATTTTGGAATTCAAGGTATACTCCACAGCATGGAAGGCTGCACAGGCGGCAGGGAGATCAAGTGAAGAGCGACGTGAAGCAGCCCAGCGAGCACGTGAAATGCAGCTTTGGTGAATATGAGTGGTGTTGCTTTGAAATGTATGGATTCCAATTTATTGTTTTTTTTGTTTTCTTCGTTGGATCTCAGGTATCTTCTTGAGAGCACAAGTCCCTGAGAATGGATCTTGTACATTGCAGCAGTTTCTAGTGGATGCATCGCGGAGGGGTCGCGATGAAAATAGTGTGCTGCAAGCCATGGTGTCCATCATAAAACCATCCCATCCCAAACGATCCCAAACGATCCCAAACGATCCCAAACATCCAAAGAGCCACTTGCAAAGTGGAAAGGAGCCACTTACAAGTGGAAAAGATTCAGGGAAAAGTTGGCTTTATGAGGTTTTGTGTTGAGCAGGCTATGTTTGGCTTCAATCCAACCGGTCTCTTTGTCTCTTAAAAACCATGACACGACGGACTCTTCTCTTCAGAATCCAAAGAGCTTGACGCGTCCAACCAGGCACCTTGATCTTCAACAACGTCCACCGGCTGAACCGTAAGCTGTTGCCCTCGGTGGTGCAGTTGGCGAACAACGGCACGTATTGGTCCCGCAAATTCAAAGAGATGAGGACCAGCAAGCTGAAGGCGCCGCTTCTAGGTTGGAGGTCATCGCTAGCAGGTTGGAGGCCATCGCTATTAGGTTGGAGACCATCGCTATTAGGTTGGAGGCAATTGCTATTAGGTTCCTTAACGTCTTCTTCTTAAAGGCGTGTCAAAGAGGTCAGTCGGAGTTCGAACACTGTTGGGCGATCGAGAAGAACATGCGATCGGACTGGGTGGCGAACACCTGGAGATGTCGATGTTCATTCTGATCCGGTGCAACTGGGCGTTGGTAAAAGGACCGCAAATCACTAATTCCAAGTTTCCAGGGATCATAAATCCCTTGTACCTATACAACATAAATCCCTTGCACCTATATTACACACCCTCCAACAAACCATAACAAACCTAACAATAGGACAGAAAAAACATACCTGCCAAGTTGTTGAGAAATCCCTCACAAAAGAGTTGTTGAGGAACGAGCCAAGGGTCCCTCAAGTCCATCAAAAATGACTTCGAATCACCACTGGTTCCGTCACCGAGAGGACTTCAGGTTTTTGAGCGAAGGACCGAAGGCCTTCATCAAAACCTTGATTTTTCGGTCGCTTACGGCGATGATAATTAAACACATAAACAACGAAAAGCCATGAACAGCCTGTCCTGTTTTATTCCAGCTCTCGGGGAGAAATCTGCAACCCACCAGAACTTTGTGTCGCAACGTGTCCGCGAGACAAGGAGATCGGCTGCGTGGACATGTCAGGACATGTCAGGACAAAATACCCGGATCCGGTTCTAGTCGTTTCATTGCCATGTTTGACCACCAATCCACCAGGCTGCAAGTTAAGATATGGCCATCTGACTTTGCAGGTTATTTATTTTTGGGGGGCACGGACTAAGAACTACAATTGAAAAATGGTGATAGTTCTTGCGCCAATTGTACCCAGGTCTTACAATCATGTTGGCATGTTTGCTTGCATATTTAAAGCTGGGAGGTCTTTCGTCCCCGCATGTCCCCGCCGTCGGACGCCTGTCGGAAAAACGTGGCGTCTCGTCACCGAGATGGCAGGAATCGTCCCGTGAAACCGGGCGGGTGCATCCCCCGCTGCACGGGATGTCAAACCTCAAACGTCGGACTGGTCGCTGCTTCATGCGGTGCACAGCCTGTCGATCCTTTGAGGTCGTTTTCGCTTTCACTGCACAGGTGATCCTCATCTCAGAAGATCAGTTTGAAGAGCTCAAGTCTTTGTCCTGCACGCGGATCAAGGTTCCTGCCTTGCGCGTCAGGAGGGCAGATATCGAAACTCGGCCGAAACTCGGACGTATCGAAACCCGATGGGTCTTCAGACTCCGAGTCTTCACCCATGCCCTCGTATTCCAACATCGGTGACCGGCGTAGGGATCTAGAATCTACACAAATCTTATACAACACATATTATACATGATATAATCTGATATGATCTGATATATATATATATATTTACCTATAATATCCCCCAAAATATGGAAGGCATGGTCACACAGGAAGGCACGGTGGTTTGTCTCTGTGTGCTTGCGAGACGGAGCTTGATTCCTCGACTCGCAGACAGACGACCGGCGGTTCTATTCAGACGACGGAGCCGGTGGATGTGGCAGCCGTGGACGACTGGTTAGTTTGTTTGCAAAAGGAGCTGGGAAGTTGTTCGTTTCACCTTGGATTCAACAAAAAGGATCCCCGGAGACGTGGAGGAAACGTCCGGGAGAGAGACATACCTTGATGAAATCAAAGCCATTCTGGGGTGGGTGCATCCGATGTTCAAGGTTCGTCCCTCTTGGAATTTTGCAACATGCTGGGGGCCTCCAATAAAAATAGGGGGTAACCTCTCCAACAGGTGTTTTTTTGGGGAGGGGTTTGGTACCCCAAATAATAGTCTCAAATAGTCTCTTTTGGAGTTCATTTTATTTCCTTTATTTTGCATTTGTTTTGCTTTCAGCCTGCTTTCATTCACGCAGCATTTCTGTTTGAAGCTTTCTGGGTGAGTTTTGACTATACCTCCAAAACCTTGATTTTGTCAGGGTAACCTAAATCGATTTAGATATGTCTATTCTGGCAGACGTTTGGCTTACCTACCCCATACGAATGAAATGTGATATATGCAAATACAACATATATGCTTTTCCAGTCAATACGGTCAAATCCTATGAACGTGGGCTCAGAGCATCCCAGGAGAGCATGGTGAAGTACAAGTTGCGGATTCTAAGCCGCCTCGAGGGGAAGCAGGTGCCGATGGTCGAGCCACAAGCGCTAAAGAGAGCCTTGGAGAGATGAGGGAAAACGCTGGAAATCCTGCAGCAACGCTTCAAAGCATTGTACTACTAGTAACAAGAAGCTACTAGGTGGAGGCCATCGCTATTAGGTTGGAGGCCATTAGTACGAGTAACAAGAAGCTACTAGGAGGAAGCCATTACTAGTAAGGACTTCCTGGTTTTCCCCACCTCCCAGGTGCTTGGGGCCTGAAGCCCTGAACTGAGTGATTTCTGAGCGAAACCAGTGACCCAAAGTGAGTGGCCTTTTGGGGGGAAATGCCATGAAATGCCTGCTTGTGAACTCTGGCCCACCGAACTCGTCTCCTTGAAGACCACTGATGTCTTGCTTTGGCCGAACTGAATGGAGCCATGGTCCAAAGAGTTTGGATGGAAAGAAAGAACACAACACTGCACCAGCCATAGCCGCCATAGCCAGAAATATTGATACCTAGAACCTGGGATAAACGTCCGATCAGCGACTGAGGGTCCGGATCAGCGACCAGGATCAGCGACTGCTGGATCAGCGACCACTGTCGCCGGATCAGCGACCAATCTCTCCGGATCAGTGACCAACGCCCCCGGATCAGCGACCAGGAACCATAGGATCACTGGTGACCGATCCTGGCGACCGATCCGGGGTGGTTGGTTTGGTTTGTTTTCCTGGTTTGTTTTCGTTTCCTTCGTTAGACCTCTCTGGCGACCGATTCTGACGACCGATCCTGTGTGGTTGGTTTCCACTAGTACTGGCTTGGCGTTATAGGGCTTTAGGGTTAGGGTTTAAGGTCAGGTGTTTAGGTTTTAGGGTTGTGTTTTTTCGGGTTAGGGTGTCTACGACTACCAATACAATTGTTAGTATGAAAACAGTTATCACTACCATTACTACTTTTACTTCCACAAGACTTCTACTGCTACTACTACTACTACTACTACTACTACCATTATAGGTTCTTAGGGTTAGGTTTTAGGGTTAGGGTTACGACTACTACGGCTATTACTACCACTTCTAGGACTACTACTATTACTATTGCTAACATCACAGTTGCGACTACTACGACCAATACTACCACTTCTACTACCACTGCTACTACTACTATCACTACCACTACTGCTACTCCGACTGCTAATACTACTACTACTGCTGCTGCTGCTGCTACTGCTACTACTACCACTGCTACTACTACTACTGCTACTACTACTACTGCTGCTACTACTACTACTGCTGCTACTACTACTTTACTACTACCACTACCACTACCACCACTGCCACTACCATTACCACCCCACTACCACTACCCCACTACCACTACCACTACCACCACTACTACTACTACTAATAATAATAATATGCCTTCTACGACTAACCACGACAATCACTACTACTACTACGACGACGACTACTACTACTACCACTACAGCTACTACTAGGTCTTAAGGTTACTATAAGTGTTTTAGGGCTAGGTTTTAGGGTTAGGTTTTTTACGACTACTACGACTACCATTTCTATTATTACTAGTATCATTATTATACTGTTACTTCACTCACAATTACTAATACTATAACTACAACTACTACTGCTACTACTACTACTACGACGACGACTACGACTACGACTACGACTACCACTACCACTACGACGACCACTACCACTACCACTACTATTACTCCTACTACTACTACTACTACTACTACTACTACTACTGGCGTCACCTTGTCGGATGTGTGAAAGGAAGCAGAGGAAAGGCAATCATTTGCGTCGGTCTTCCGTGTCACGCCACGAACCTTTTGGGCAAGTTTGCGCTCTAACTATGTCCATGGGCAGACTTTCACGCGTTGCTCTCAGGGTAGTTGAGAAAGCAGTTCTACATTCCTATACCAAAAAGATAGCACGCATTACGCGATGCGCCCTCGAGCAAATATGGCTTCAACCACAAACATATCCTATTGGGCGAAGTATTTTTTTTCGATGTTGATATAGCCCGCCCAAAGCGGCGGTCCACAGGTGAGCGCAGTGAATTCAAACAAGAAGAACAGAGCAATGAGGCGGTGGCGAACTGCCGGGTTGTCACCAGACGAAGAGAACCTGGGAGCCTCCTGATGTGGACCCCGAAGAAGTAGTACTTTGTCATCATGGTGTGGTCTGGTAACCAGGCGAATGCGTCTATATATTTTATATGTACGTGATTTACCGACTGCGAGTTCAAGGCGTTTCGCCTTTTGACGTGTTTTGTGACGTCAAGCAGCTTTTCAACAACCCATTTCTTGAGTTTAGGATATTTCAGAGAAAAAGTCTGGACTCAGTAATTCAGGGATTGTGACGTTGTATGATCCGGTATGGTTGATTGTCTTTGCCTTCCCTAGACCTCTGGTGACCAATCCTGGCGACCGATCCGGTATGGTTGGCTTGGGTTGTTTCCTTGCCTTCCCTAGACCTCTCTGGTGACCGATTCTGGCGACCGATCCGGTATGGTTGGCTTGGGTGGTTTTCCTTGCCTTCCCTAGACCTCTCTGGTGACCGATCCTGGCGACCGAGCGACCGATCCGTGATTGCCAGTCACCGATCCGTCAGGTCCGGTCACCGACCCGGACTTCCTGGTCACCGATCCGGGGCGACCGATCCGACCACATTGGTGACCGATCCTGGTGACCGATCCGACACTCACCCCTAGAACCTGAGTGACCTCTATTTTAGATTAAATGTTTGATCACCAACCCCAAATATGGTCTTTCTAATCAAAACAGGTGTCGTGTTTGGATTCTGATTCCTCCACTCTTTTCCAGTTCGGTCACTGATTCCTCTGGTTCCGGACAGGCCCGACCCCCCAACCGCTTAGGCATCCGGCCATGTGGCGGAGGTCGACTCCGATTGGGTCCGTTTGGGTCCGTTCTCGTCGCCGCCGCCTAAGCTGCCCCCCTGGTTCCAGTTCCAGAGGCAAACCATGTGGGGTTTGGGATGAGGATCTACTGGATTGTCTACAGGAACAGTCTACTTAACATTGCGCACCTCGAAGGATGGCACGGTCCCAATATCAAAATGATGCTTCAACAGTAGGGAAACGGATAGGAAGATCTTCCGATGCCCTGGCTGCTGAAAATAGAGTTCTTCTGGCCACTTGGAGAATGACTCAGCATGTGGACAGTTATAGATTGTAGTATTGTGGGTCCCTTAAACCTGAGCATGGTTCTTTTGGACATCGCTGAACAGCGTGCTGTCAATCGAGGACTACAGGCCTATGACTATCCCAACAATGTCCAAGAGCTCTTCTCGATGATTGAGAATGCCTGGTGTCACTACACTGACGGAGGTACCTTAACGGCTGATATGGTTTGGACCGCGCAAAGCCCTGAGAAGCTCGCGACTCGGAGAGGATGAATGGACCCTGCGTATTTGGTGAATGAGACCCTGAATGCTTAAAGACCAGACAAGCTACCCAGGAAGAGGAGAAGCCACCATCACCATAGGTTGAAGGCCATTGCTAGTAGGTTGGAGTCGAGTCCGCTATTAGGTTGGAGGCTATATATATATAAATTTAGATATACTTGTTTTTGTTGTAGGTGGTCCCATGCGGAAAACCCGATTTCCGTGAGTCGACCACGGCCCCAATGGCCCATGGATCGCAGAAACCGAAGCAAAGCCGACACTCGGATGCCCGACCCCGCTCCGTGTCATGTGGTTCTTGAGGGGATTGACCCCAGCTTGCTACTTTTTACCTTAAAAAGCCCCAGGTTTGGAGATTTAAACACATCGCATTAAACAGCATTAAACAAAAAAAAAGAGCATCTAAAAAAGCAAAAACACAAATATTCTAGCTCTTTTGACTCTTCACAAGAGACTAGGTCTATGTTCGTCCATCGGACCAACACGAACATACCTGGTGAATTGATTTTTGAAGATTTAGACAAACTAAAGCCTGGACACGGACCCTATATTCTTGAGCCCTCGTGGGATGTCACGCTTCCAGAAATGAATCCTTGCCCCTATGGATACACCATGATCTAACGACATCCTCGCAAGGTAGTTCGACCCTCCATGGCCCTCCCAAGCCACCCTAACACCTTCGAAGGTTCATGGACCTTGTTGATTTTTCTTTCTATGCGCTCCTATGGACCTTCCATAGCAGCATAGCACCACATTTCTCGACATCGAGTGGTGCTAACTTCAACATCAGTCAGATCCCCAAGGAGCGAAGATTGATGATTACCAACCAACCGGTTACCAACCTGACTTGAATCGTCATGATTTTGTCATCGTCCAGGACATGTTCAAGGTGAATCTGTTGGACGTTTATCCGAGCGTCTCAGCGGCATCTGAGCGTCTGAGCTCATTTTGGAGAGATTGGGCCCCAAAGGGGAGACTGTATGTATGGGTCATCAAGGGTTCAAATATGTTCAACTGCTTTCATTGCCAGAAATCCCAGGCCATCCCAGGCCCAGTGAGGCCCGAAGCTAATATTGACTGAGTGTATGAATCAACCTGGATGGTCAAAGAATATACATAAAGGTTCGATTCATCAACCGTTGACATCAGTTAACATTCTCCAGCTGTCTTTAAGAAGTAAGACAGCTAAACCCTATAGGATCCCGTTGGTGTTTCGCACAGACACCGAAATGCGGGACCTCTGGGTCCACTTATCATGGTTGACGAACATGTTGTGATCCGGATGGAACTTGGTTGGATGGTCGTATCAAATACATACCAGGAACGAAGTAACTGGATGTCTATCAAAATAGGTAGACAGCAGACCTTCCAGTTTGAACCCCTGGAACGAGGAAAATAGACCAAACCAATTTGTTGATCCAGGGATCTCCCCATTAAAATACAGGCCCAATTTCCACGTATCACTGGATGACTGAGTTCTTCTCTTTCGCTGAGCATAAGGCGTTTAGCGCCTAGCACAGCGTATCCAAACACTGACCGAAAGACACTACCACAAAAGCAAAAGGACCAGAGAATACTACCGACCAGAGAATACCACATGCAATTGGTACATATAGAATGTGTGCGTGTGTTGGAGAGAGTGTGTGTGTGTGTGTGTGTCAATGCATTTATCTGGAAAATGCAGTGCTGGCAGATGGGAGCGGCACAGTCCTGGAGAGCAAGCGTGATTGCAAGTGTTGCAGGTTTTCCTCCAGCATCGCATCACCTTCATCAACTACAGTCCTGCCTACATTGATTTCAGATCTCACATCAGTCCTATCAGTGTATTTGAGGCACCATTCTCTTGGGTTTGGTTGTGATGTCCTTGTGATCTCCACTTTTCTCAGCTTTCTGAAGTTCCAAGGGTTGCCGGGGCCGCGCGACGGGAATAAGACTGATTCTTTGTTCACTTCGTTTCCGTCTCGATTGGACTCTAGGACGTTAACAGCTTGGGATACTGGTACCCGAGCTGATCCCCAAGTCACCCAACTGCAGACCGAATCCGAGGTTTGCGATCCTTTCTGCAGTCCAACTGGCTGGAACAACTGAATCATGGGTTTACCAAATACGTCTTTGTGGCGCTGAACTTGCTCTTGTGGCTTTGCTTAACAAAACAGCGTGACAGGCAGGCGTCGTTCGTTTGGCTTGAGGGAGTTGTTTTGTCGTGTTCCACAGTGATCTGGTGCCAAGGCAGGATTTGTGATGTTTAAATTTAGTGTATAGTGTTTATATATATGATTCCGATGGTGTTTAGGAAGGACTACAGTGGTGCTCAGGGCAACAGTCCAATGGCAAAGCAGCGCCACACTTTCAAGTGCCTGGTCAGGGTTCATGGAACAAGGGACTGACTAGAATCTGACTGAAAATGCTTGGCTCATGGGAATCTCAAGAGACACTTGGTGCTGTTTTTTTACGTTTCCCAGACATTTTCCCAAGCACCTAGCCTCAGATTGAGGAATAGGGTCATGAAAGATGCCATGTCCCACTCGATGATGGTTTGAGGTGAAGGAAGGTAGATGGAAACTAAATATGGCGGTCACTAAGCATCAACAAGTGATGTATCACTCCTTGTAGCATCTTTCTGGGCGAGATGGACTTCCAAAATCCACCCAGCTGGAGTCTCCAAGACTTTCTCAACCTCCCAGTGGATCCCCCAGGAAGATCACCTTTGACGCAGGAAGACCAACTGCTGGTTCTCTCCGGTTCCGCACGGCGAGGTGGTTTGGCCCGCAGACGCGGGACGCCAACTTTGGCCTCAACATCTTCTGGGCCTGGCGACCGGGACGCAGAGATCCTGAGATCGGAATGGATGGGAACAAGCAGCCCCGGTGATGTCTGACTCCAAAAACCCCGGCAAAGGGTGAGTTCGTGGATTTTTCAGGGTTTTCGATAAGAATCCATATTTAACATATGTTAACTCCGACTCAATAGTAGAACCTGGAGATGCACATCTCTTCCAGAGTAAAATGTCTTCCACTTCCACTCTCCAGTCACCTATAATCAGATCTGTTCACCTTAGGAAGAGAATTTCGGGATTCGATCGGATTCGGTCCAGTTATTCTCCTTGGCAGGTGGTGGCCCGGCATTTTGTTGACCTATCCAGTGCCTTGGATGAAAAAAAAGAGATGAGAAGAAGGATGCCAAGTCAGACGTACGGCTTCTTGTCATTGAAGTTTCACATAGAGAAGTTCCTTCGTCCGGTCATGTCTGGTCTGGGTGCCTTGCATGGTCCGCCCAAAAAACCGGACGCAACTCGCGAGATACGGCTTCTCGCGGAGCAACTCGTGGATCGCTAGGAGCTTGGAACCCGGATCGGTGACCACGGGCAGAGATGAACACCGGCACTCCATGGTCTTCCGAGCCCATTGAATGGACACTTATATAGCCTTGTTGTTTTGGTGGACAATTGGACAATGACTCCCAACTCCACCCCCTTGGCTGTTTTCCAGCACAAACAGATAACTCCTGCTTTGGCATGGGTTTCCCACCCCAAAAATTGGGTCATTGAAGTGAAGATGACCCACCTGAAATACTGGAAGTGTATGGCACCACCCTGTTTGTAGAGGATCTTATGGTCATCCAAGCGGCCAAGCCATCCACTTCCATGATTATTCCGGGGTGTACCCGGCACCAATCTGAACAGTTCATAAGTCCCACCACAATCAGAACCAGGTCATAGCAGGAAAACACCGAAGCAAGTCACGGGTGTGACAACTGCCAACTGCTTGGTGGAACACTTGCCAAGAGATGGGAGTAGGGTCACAACGTAGGCCGTCCAACTTGGTCGGCACAGTAGGTCGCTGGAAAATGGGCAAACATGGTCATCCACTTGGAGAAACGCCAGGAAGTGGCCTGTGTACTTAGTGATTCTCTCTAGGGATTCCCGAAATGTTGATGACATAAAGTATTAACAATTTATTATATAGGTCATGGATGGTCAAAGACGTTGCCAGCTTTCAAAACAAGGTTGCTTGAGATAACCTAACAGTTTGAGACTTTAACCAAGAGTTCTGAGGGAAGTACAATGGCTTTTGGAAGATTTGGCTTCACCTCCTTCGCTTCCTTCACCTGCTTCGCTTGCTTCGCTTCATCACATGCTTCAGGTGCTGGGCCGCTTTTGGTGCGCGGTGTGCCCCTTCATGATTTTTGGCGAGGTGCGGCGACGAGACAAGGAGCGTCACTGCAAAGAAGAATATGAGCCCCCACCAGCACCACTCAGTTTTGGATGGCTATTGGAAACAGATGGGGATGCTGGGCCACCAATACATGAAGTTCTTACCATTCCCATCCCCTATGTGGTCTCCCAGTTCGCGCAAGCCGCAGGTGGTGCAGCGTGCGCGGGTGGCCGGCGGCGCCCAGTTGCGGAAGTGGCCTCAGGAGGTGGAGCGGCCGCTCGGCACTTCGTTGGACGGTCGTTCGGTCCAGAGGGACCCAGAATCCTGGTCCAGGTGCTGGTCTTGGTCGAGCGAGATCCTCCAAAAGATGTAAAAAGTCAAGTCCTTGATGGTTTGTTTTGCTCGAAACTCAAGAAGTCATTGATTTGATGGACACAAGGTGCTAAGTTGAGAGTTGTCAACTTAGAAGTAGGAAGCGCGGAAGTCATTCTTCAAAAGAATAGGGTCCTGCGGTCCAGAAGGTGTGGTGGAATCGATGGGACATTTCACGTTGGTGATGTTGGTGACTTTTGCTGGTTGTCAGCTTTGGTGAGCATCAAGTGGCCCGCAGTACTACTGTAGTAATTTAGCCACTACCTCCTCACAAGGTTGTACCAAGACACATATATAAATCAATATAAATCATATTTGTCCTCCCTTTGCCCCACCAATATGCGGATCTCCAACCCTTTACAATTTGTGGGTGTTTGAATCTCTGAACTATAATTCTGGTATACAGGTCAGTGGGCAACCTTTCCAGTTTGTAGTGGCGAGCCCTAGTAGGTTGACCTCCCTAGTCGTCCGGTTCTGACAATAAGATCAGACCCTGAAAGACTGGCCACACCGAGATCGGACTCTCTGATCACATAGAGATCAATGGGAGACCTACCGACATACAAGAATCCCGGCTCTGGGGAGGGTCCCAGTGACCCTCAGCACCCTGAGCCTGGTGACAGCCACATGTGAGGTATGGCGGATGGTTTCTCTATGCGCTCTTCCTGGCCATCCTCATGTGGGAGGAGCTTTGGGTCCTTGAGGAGCGCAAAGCTGCTTCAGTTGAAACCGAAAACGACCAACCCACCCACCATAACCCACCTGTTCCACCACCTCTTCCAGGACACGGCTTACTTGTCCTCCTGCCTCCTGCTGCTCATTACCTTCGGTGCTATGGTGGGCTCGTACTTCTACGAGCGGCGCATTTGGTGCCGCCACTTGTGCCCCATCGGTGGGATGAATGGTCTCTATGACGCTCGGCCGGATCCAATGGTCTTACCTTTGGGTTCCTGAAAACGGGGAATCGAGTTGCTACCGTTTGGAATCAGCTTCTAGGCCAAGCAGTAGCTGTAGCCCTCGGTTGGCTTCATCCCAGAAAGTCACTAAATATCACTTATCGCAAGGGAGTAAAGCGAATAGCCCTTGGGTGATTCTCCGCATTTCTGTGTACCCAGTTGGTATTACAAAACGGTTGTGATTTCGTCGCAGTATGTTCGTTGTGGCAGCTGTTTTTGCAAAGACTGCATTTTCGCTGAGCTTTGCAGACTACAGACCAATCATGAGAGCAGCAAGCAAGCTTAACAATGGAACATGTTCAGATATTTGGCTTCAATGACTTCACAGATTGAATGTGGCTCCACCTGGTTCACAAACTAGTGGATCTTTGGGTATTTTGAGAACCGGTGGCTGACCCGTTGGCTGGTATAGGTTGACCGGTTTTGTTGGGAGTCAACCAGGGAGGTCCGGGGATTAGATAACACACACAAATCTGTAGGACTACTGTGATGCCTTTTACATCTTCGCTGGAGTTCACTCCATCCTGCTATTCCCTAACGGAAAAAGGGATGGAAAAGGGTTCAATTTGAGCTTCGCAGCATTGAAACAGCCAGGCAGTTGTCGCAGTTTTCGAACGTTTCGGATCTCTGAGACATATCAGATGATCTCAACAGCATCTTCTTGTCACCTCCTTCTTGTCATCTTCTTGTCACTCTCTCAGAGATCTCAGATCTTCGCCCCAAGGCGAAGATGGCCGTGACCGAGCTCAGAGCACAAAACGGTCAATGCAAGGCAAGCCAGGAGGATCCAGGAGGTGTTCGGGGGCCCGGCCTAAATATCTAAACCAGGGCAGTTACCCGTTCACTGGATACTCAGAGGTGCTCATAGCCCTTTACCTGTTAGTGCCCCCGTAGGGTCGATCTTTGCTCCAGGTGAGATGCAGAGAGCTCTGTACAACTCCAGGTTTGTATTCGTTATGAGTGTCAAATCTGGTGCTCAGAAGTGCTCGAAGCAGATGCTGGCGACCAGCAGGATTTTTTGGGACTCACAACCAGTTGTACATACGCTAATGTAATGTCCAAAGCTACAACCAAAAAGAAAACCTGGACCCTCCTCAGAACCGTGGATAAGGGTACCTGCACCAATAATGTGTGTATTTATTCACTTAACAGCGTCACGTCGCATGTTCGGAGGTGAACTGGTGGCTTGATTGAACTGGTGGAACAACTATCCACTGCAGAAAACAGGTAGTAACAAGAAGCTAGTAGAAACAAGTGCATCGCTTCTACGAACAAGTGCCTTACTAGTAGTAACAAGAAGCTAATAGTTAATTTAGTTTAATTCTATGTTAAAGGATCCGTACATTTGGTTCGATAGGACGGGAGGGAGGAGGATGCAGCCACACTGGCCTGGCGCCAAGGCAGCGATGTTCGCCGGGGGGGGTTAGACCCAGCCCGCCACGTGTGAAGCCTTGCCCGCCCGTGATGTGTATTGAAAGACACATAGGCAAGTCTTCTTGCACTGGACCATATGGAGGCCTCAGTCCATGAATTAGAGAGATTGTGATTCCATCCGTTTCCAGGAGGCCTCAGGCATTCTCAAGTGTCCCAGTAGACTTATTACTATGCTTCGCAAGTGTCCCAACACCCACAGGCAAACACCCCCAGTGCTGAAATCCAGTTGTTGTGAAATCCAGTGTGTATATACAGAGCTTCTACAGCCTCTACCCCTTAGAGAACATGGTGTGGAAATTGACGGATTCTGTCAAACCATCCAACGTAAATTGAGGAAAGGGGGATCTACACATCACCCGTGTTTTTGCAAAGAAGTTATGTGTTTTTATGTCACAGCTACAGTATTTCCCCTGCTGCTAGGCTCCAGTCCCCTAAGCAATTACTCACAGGTACATCCAGGTACTGCTAAGTCCTTTCTCACTGCGACACCCTTCTCATTGCAATCCTGCTTCAGGCGGTTTGCAACACCTTCCATTGCTACAAAGGAGGTCCTGAAGAAGGCGCTCCGTTACTCGTGCTAAGCACACCCCTGTCCTCGCAGGGACCTCCCCATTGACCTTTTCAGGATTGATTAGTAAGTGACCTTTTACAGACCTAAGTCACCTCATTTCTTCTGGGATCTGAAAAGGTCATTGGGACGGTCCTGGTCATCATACTTGGATGCGTTTCCAACTCAATTGGATGCGATCAAGAGTAATACTCAATCTTCACTGAGTCACGGGCTGAGTGACTGACTGACTGAGTTACCGATTGACTGAGTGGTTGGATTTGATATCTGAGACTTTGCTTCAGGAACTGGTCGAAAGCGACCAAAGACTTGCAGCCTTTTGACACCCAATCCCATCTCCCAAGTCGGGAAATTCCCATGTTTGCGGGTGTTGACCGTCAACAGCACCGGGATCCAGTGGGCAACTGGCACATTTGTTCGATCCACTGATGGTTTGTGAACGCAGGTGAAGGACAGGAGACGGATGGCTGCCCCTTATATTCGCATCCTGCCAACCTGAAGGACAACAAGACGCCTGGCTGAATCAGCCTTTGTTTTCACTCTTCAAGGAGGACCGAGAAGTCTCGGTGCATCCGGACCAGTTTTGCTGAAACCAAGACTTGGAAGTCAAGCTGATCCAGGCCCAACGAACGAAATTCAATGAAATTCACAGCAGCTATGCAGATCCATCTTCGGAAGGTTGGTGCAATATTTTGGCCTGCATCCCGTGGCGGAGAATTTCCGAAAACGAGGGGAGGAAACATGTTGATCCGTGAACCTCTCGATGATCCAATCACCGGTGACGCCGGACCACGGATTCCAACAACGGACCAGCTCCAGCTCCTTGTGTTACGGATTCCACATACGTCGCATGTGAACTGGAGTTCTTTGTGATCAGGAATCCACCGCGTCATTTGTCATTTGTGGCCCGCCCTGTCAGTGGAGAGCCTTCAACTTAACATCACTGAAGCAGACCTAGCACTTCCAACGGGTGCCCTGTCTGGACTGTCTGGAGACCTGTTTACGTAGGCTAGGGTAGTCTAGCCCGGACACCCAGACAGGATGATCCTGGTTACTTGACCTTGTTTTGGGGCCCTTGCTCTCCGAACCATTGGCTCCGGTCGAGGGGTCGACGAGGGGGGGAAGCACCGCACCGAGGAACTGCGTGCTATGCTTCACGTGTTTGAGAGCCTGTCCTCATCGATGCTGGGACTATTGGACTGAGAGACATCTCAGGTGCTTCCCTGCGGTGTTCCGGAGGTGTCCGGAGGTGTTGGGCTTTTGGGTCTTTTGGAGGGCTTTTGCACTCTCTTGGAGCGGGAGGCTATGCTCTCCCCCCCGGAGCAGACAGATTGATGGAATCATAAGGAACCTCAGGTCGGGTGCAAAAGAGTCCTTTTGGACCCAATATGACCCAATCAGAGGGACTGAAATTGTTGACTTGGTCGAGAAATCCGTCGAGTCTGTCCATTTCCTAGAGGGCAAGCTGGTTGAGTCTCAGAGTCTCAGACACATGGACGTCAAGAAGTCAAGAGCCTGGCTTCTTGAGCCATAGTGGTAGAGTTGCATGAGAAAAGCTATTTTTTGGATGTATCATGTGTTGTCATGCTTTTTCTATTTTAATATGAAGGACAGGACAGGTGTGTAAAAACCATCAGAACCTTCACTTCACACAGTTCACATCAATCACGGGGGAAGGACCACTTGAGCGGACGTCAATGCGGCGTATCCAGTCTTGTGGAAAGAGGGTATAGATCAAACCAGGACAGTACCAGTTCTTCATGGAATTATGACTCGTACAGACGTACAGGCTACTGAAACCTAGAAATGGCCCTTGTATCAATGCCCCTGAAACCCATGTTGTGAGAATTCAGCACTTACTTAACATGCGTAAGAAGCTAGCCGCCACGCCCGTTGCACCCGGCTTTTCATTCCCTTTCTTCCAGTTATTACGCAAAACTGCGAAGCACCAAACTGCCCAGGCAACGTTCAGTTGAATCTGCGCGCGCCGGGCGTGGACTTCGGCTTCCCGTTCCTCTTCCCCATTCCAGGCACCAACATGGCAGCCCAACACGAGCCAAGCATGCCGGAGGTGCCACTGGTCGGAAAAAACGGGTACGGAGTCGAGAACAGAACGGACTCCGGAGCGGAGATGTGTGGCGGACTCTGGGTCTGGGGCCTTTGTTTCAAGTAAACGAACAAAGATCAAAGAACTAGTTCCCTAAGAATCCTTGGGCTCTCGGCATCGGATCCTCCATAGCAGGGGCTTGAGGGCCCGAACCAACATATTATGTGTTGGTTCGGGCCCTGAAATTCTCAGGGTAACGTCGACATGTGTTTGGCTTTGCCGGTCGCCATTCAAAAAACCGCAAGTCTCGTGGAACGATTCACGATGTGTTTGGAAAGCGAAAACGCCCTCAGCGAACAACCGCCCACGACAGGTGGCACTACTCTTCTTGCTGCTCGGGGCGGTGGTGTGCCACCATTTGGAGGATTTGCTGTTGCAGGTGCGTTTGGACCTGCGGTGTTGTCCAGCGCTCTGCTGGCGTTCCCGGGTCGACCGACCGCACAGGGTTCGTACGGACGACCGAGCAGAACTGCAAGTCGTCCTATATCTATTTATTTTTTAATGTTTTGTCCAAATCAGGCTAGGATACTATTAGACTATTATTGTGTTATGTGTTTCTTCAGGTTCAAGATGTTTCTCCAAATCCAATCGTCGGCATGCTATTTCGCCCTGCCCAGTCGCAGGGGCGGGGTCACCGTGTCACGCCGTGTCCAGTCTAGGTGGGTGAATCTCCAGAGCGCTTAGAGCCTTGGTCAATCCATGGACATTCAGAAATTGCCAGCAATCGGACACACAAATCAGGTGAATGCACAGTATTCCACAGGACTGTAGCAGCGCGTGTCAATTGCCACAATATCAAATTCTTTGCAAAAGCAAAGCCTCAGGAATGTTTCTCATCAAGTTTTGCCTATAACAAGACCCATGCTCTTTTGGAAAAAGCAACAACGGATGGAACATGTCAAGCGATGGTGCTCGGATGTACCTTCTCAGCAATTGCCCGAACACCCGTGTCACCCCGGGGGAACGGTCCAGCAATGCAGATGACACCCACCTTGCTTCGTGTGTGTTTGCTCCACACACACACACACACACACCCCCCAAAACCAACCCATGCAACCCTTATCAAGTCTGGAACCTCCGGCGTCGACTCAGGAAAGCTTCAGCTTCCACGCCTTCCTCGCCTTGGCAGCTCTGCTGGCTCCAGGGCTCCTGGCCGCAGCGTTCGATCAACTGGCACGCCGACTTTGTGCTCTCTTCGAGCCGGAGCGGGCGAAGAGGGTCGTGAGGGCGGATTGAGCCTGCAGGGGGACTTGGGATCGTTTCCACACATTCGGTCGGCAGCTGTTGGTCTGTTGAAGCTGTTGGTGGTTTTTAGAGGTCAGCGGTGACTTCTTTTTCTACCACTGACACATGACGCGTACTGACACATCATGACGCATCATGACACTCTTTGTCTCTGAAGATCACCACCACATCCACGGTCTTTGGTGGTTTTGGCACCTCTTCGCACCCAGAACATCCCAGAACCACTTGCTGCAGCATGCCAGTCACTTCCGAGAAGTAAGTCCCGCGAGACGCACGCGGTGCCAGGACCGGAAGCCGCCCAACGAGTTTGTGAAGTTGGCCTACAGCTATCTCCCCCTGACGCCCGGTGTTTCACGAAACCGGGTTGTTTCAGGTCACTGCTTCGGGGAGGAAGCGGGTCGGTGAGGACGTGCAAGGTTCACGTCCCGGAGGTCGGGATCAGGTGGGTGCAGCATCGCTGGCGTGCGGTCGAGGTCTTTTCTGGCAAAGGACGGTCGAGGTTTCATCCGATTTATTCAATGAATCATTCCGTCCTCCCCAAAGGTGATGGTGGCCCTGCGGTGCTCTCGTCACGACAAGGAAGACTAGGCATGTATGAGCCAGAAAATGCCAGAAAGGTGTTCGGAGCCTGCCAGTTTTGAGATCCTTTGACAGCTGAAGGAGCTTGAATTGGTTTGCCTCGGCGGTTCGTCCCCACCAGGGCTTCATTCATTGATGCGCAACATGTCCGACATGTCCTCCTGGACAACAAAATACAAGACATGGAGCGGATCACCACTCTGGCAACTACCAACCCCTATGAGGATCCAGCTGTCACCTGAGGTGGGGTGCGTGTGTAGGGTGGCTTCTCAGGAGGTAGTTTGGAGCCGCAAAGGCAAAACACACACACACACACACCAAGCACAGAGCGGATCAGAGCAACAGTAACAGATCTTTGATCTGTAACAGCAAAGGTAACAGGATCCAGATTGCAACCAATCTTTGATCCAACGGTAACTTAGTAACAGCAACAGATTTGGGTGACATGGACTGGGGGTTTTAATTCCCGTACAAATCCACAGCTCCTTTTGAGAATGGGACGCACTGACGTCATTGCCACCGATGCGAAGCTTCGCAGAGGTCATAGAGGTCACAGAGGTCACAATAGCGGTCGCATCCGTCACGTCGGTCGGTGCCACCGGTGCCACCTCAGCGCACTACCAGGACTTGGCTGGGTTCATTGGCGCACTACCTTCAGCTGGGCCTGGTCGAAGCAGGGCAGGTGCTCCCAACTGCAGCGCGCACCGTGGAGTACTTTGTTCGACAACTGCCTGGACAAGAGCAAGCAGACATGCAGTGGCTACACGAGGTGGAGCATGTTCGGTTGCTTCCATCGTGTTGGTGCCTTTTTGTGCACTGGATATCCGCATATGTTTGAAGAATGTCACATAGACTTGGCAATGAATATTGATGTGTTCCATGTTATTCCGGCATTTGATGCAAGTGCTGTTGGCCTCTTCGCGTTTCTTCGTTTGGCCACTCCATGTGCTTGGAGTGGATTGACACCATTCCAAGAACTCTCGTGGTCAGCTTCTACTAGGTCGCCCTAAGGCGTATCACCCTCACAGATGGCGTATCTTTGGGATGTCGCCATGCGGGGTAGACATGATCGCATGTCTTTGGTTGATCCTTTGTGGCCATGAGGAATGGTTTATTGGAAGTCTTCTGTGCTTGTGTTGAAAAAAAGTTTGAGTCCGCATGAAAACTTCATGTTTTTAAATGCTCATCAGTAATCTGCCCATGTTAGGTCAAGAATGGATGAAAAGCAGCTGGTGAAAACATTTTGTAACCTGGAAATGCTTCAGTGACACTTTTGGGCGCTTGCTATTGAACTTTGCGTGCCATTGGTGCATGCAAAGATTTTAGGAAGAGGTTGTTGGATCAGTCCGACCTTGTGACTCTTCTGGCTTGTGAGCAGTTCCTGCTGGAGAAGAAGCCTGTCAAGAACAACTTCAGCCCAACAGGTTCCACACAACGCAGTGGTACCTGCAGGCTTTGAGGTGGGAGCCGTTGAGGGCATGGCGGCGAGAGCCCAGAGCCTTGGAACACCGTTGTCATAGCGACAGGAGCTGTAGTGTCTCGCGGCCAAGCTTGCATTCCTTGCAGGTGAGGTCAGGACCATATATAACAAGTCCAGAGGTGCTTCGCCTCACTGGGACGCATACAAAGAGTGGGACATGCTTTGCGATCGCACAAGTTGTGCATGGAGAGGTCCGCAACTTATCAGTACACTTTGCTTCAAGGAAGGCCGACAAACGATCACTTAGCAGATGCTCTTCTCCGACTCTGCCGGCAGCACGCTGGGATGCAGAAGGAGGACTTGCAAACCCTTTGTCGAGAAAGGAAAGCGCTGTGGCTAAGAGATGGTGTTTCTGCTCAGGCACCGCCAGACACAGCCGTATCGATGCAGCTGAGCCACCCCGTGTCCCTTGGTGTTGCGCTTCAAATTTGACGGCGGGCTGTGGTTGTGCTTGTTGTCTCGGACTCCTGCCTGCTTGCTGTTGCTGCCTTGCTGTGCTGGGGTGGGGAGGTACGTTCGGGTTTTGGAGCAAGCGCCTTGTCAGCAATGCCAGAAATAGGTACCAACGCGCTTGCCTATTTGGTGTGGGCAGTGGGCCCTGTAAAGTTCCTAACAGAAACTTCAGCCCAGCGATCTCTGGAGGAGCTAAGGCTGGCGGGTACTCTCACAAAGAGCAGGGAGTGCTGGATGCACAGGGGGTGATCGACAAGATTGACCCTTCTACCCACATGCACACACGCAAGGAGCCAGAGCCACCTGCAGACGTTTGTGTCACACCACCAAAGAAAACGCGAGACGAAGAGAGGAATCCACAGTGAGTGGCTCAGCCTGAAACTCAGCAAGTTGGTGCAGGATTCTTATGGGCTTGCGTGTAAGAATACCACCCTCTCTAATTCATTCTGGCGGTCGACCACTTTTGTTGACTTGATGTACTTGATGGTACTAGAGTTGAGGCACCCTTTGTGTTGTTGTGCCTGTTAGGCGTTTTCGCATTTCACCCCTTGGGTTCTGAAGTTCTTTCCCCCCGAATCCAAGAAGGAAATTCAATATAACTTCTGGAGCGGCCAGAATCTGTTGAACACTCTGGTGCACGCCGTTTCGCTGAATTCTAGATGCAGTGGTGGTGGTTGGGTCCACGCGCTAGGTGCTGGTGCTCACCAGGTAGTAGGCTAGGTGAATTTGTACAGAGAAATGTGAGTTAGACTTGGACCGTCAAGATGACTGTGTTGAAAGGATCCTAAATTAATTCATTAATATTCATTAACTCTTTCTCAGCCTCTCGCAGGTAATCTTTGCGGAGTGTGGCTGCCTTTTTCGTTAACAGTTTGAGAGCAGAGGTTAAGACATCCTTTCCTGCATCTATTGTTTTTCAGCATCGGGTCATCCAGAAGGGCTAGCTCAAGAACGCTCAGAGCAAAAACCCATCGGCGCAAGCCTAAACTCACAACCGATCGAAGAGATTTGTTGGGGGCCCTTCGACAGTCTGGAAGACTGCCATGGCCAGGGGCGGCGCGAATGTGAAAAGTGAAAACTTGCGATTTAAGGCATGTGGGTCTGAAGACAGTTTTAGCAGGCGTTTTCAGGCCTTATTCCGCCCACACAGCACCAGTGAACGTACGTGTTTTTTGTTGTAAATTCTACACTTCACTTGTTTTACGCCACTTTGAAAGGCAGCACCAGTGTGGTTGGGAATTTGGGGAGGTCATGAGCTAATCAACGATTGCGTGCCACACTTAAGGATTGCTTGACGAGGCTGTGGCCATAAAAGGTTCCATGGGTCAACTATCAAGATTTGGTGGTCACAAGCATGGCCTTCTGCAAGGGAGTTCAATGTGTTGCCATGAGATTTGAGAGATGACACATATTCAGGTTACTTGAAGCAGCTGTGGCCATGGGGCTCCATGGGCGTAATGTGCCTTTTACGGTGCCTTTCTCTAAACACTGTGGCTATTCAGTGATGTGCCTTTCGGACATGTGATGTGCCTTGGGCGCCCGCTTGTCTTTATGACTCCCTACAAAAATAACATATATATATATACTGCATATCTATATATATTTATATATGCATGTGTGTGTTTATATATATATATATTGTGCACTCATATACAGGATATGTCGTTTTGCGGGGTGGTTCTTCAGTAGTTGGTCACTGTCTGAAGTAAGCCGTAAGCATCCTGAAGAGCGAGACGGCGAACCAATCTCCCGCCTGAAAATTCATCTTTCTCCCTACTGGCCGCCATGTCGCTTCAGCCAATGAGAACTTCTGCCCACTGTGTGTAAGGTTTTTGCCTACACTGCGTCACATCTTTGCAAGATGTCCGAAGCCACCACGGGTAAACATAGCGCCACAACAACCGTTGACTTCTCCTTTTTCGTGCAGTAGCTGGCTTCGGCTCCCACCGCTTTACATCAGCCCACATTTGATCCACAAGGCCAGTATCGACCTGAAAATTCCTGCAACGCTTGCTTTGTGGTTCCAATCTCTGCAAGAGTGCACGCAAAACCTGTTGTTCAGTTTATATTCTTTGGCCAGGTGCCTACTGGTGGGGTGGCACCGACAGCCAGACGAACCACGACCTAATGCTGGGTGGCAGCAACAGCCAGACGACCAACGACCTAATGCTGGGGCGCAACCAGCAGCCAGACGAAGCAAGACCTATTGCTGGGGCGCAACCAACAGCCAGACGAAACACGTCATCCCCATAACGTCGGTTGCTTATCAAAGCATGCAAGCAACACGCATCCAAGCATTTTGCCCACCCCTGCAGATGCACACACGCATGCGCGACGAACCCTCGGAAAAAATGGGACAGTTCTGAAGTCAAAACTTTACTGACTGTGTTTTTTCTAGCAAAAAAACAAAATTATGCGCGGGAGAGAAAAACAATGTGTTTTTTCTCTCCCAATATTCCGCAAAATTATAACTATTGAAACAAAACACGTAAAAGGCCAAAGACCTGTGATGCATTTCGTACCATTGTTTTAAGTAAACCCGTTTGGATAGATCTGGATAGTAGATCGATTTATAAATGGATAGATGGAGAGATAGATCACACATCGCACAAACACGGGGCCGAGTTTCCACTCCCTGGTGGCATGACTGAATCGCATTTATTTTCGTGTGTTTTTTCTGCTATTTGCTGAGCCCCGTGTGGCGCAACATTTTCGCAGGTGGAGCAGCGCTTGCCCAGCGTCTCCTTTGCGCCGGATGTGGTGGCCTTTCTGCAAGGAATTTGCATCATCCTGGCAGCGCTCTTTAGCCTCTCGGCCGTGTTCGATGTCATCCGGTGTCGATGGAAGACATTGAGAGAGAGAGGGTGCAATCAAGGGGAGGAGTCACAAAGCTACAGTCGGTCCCTATATGCCTCTCCCTCTATAATCCTCTATAATCCTCTATATATATACATATGTATACTAATTCCATGATAATGTCAAAGATTATATCGGCCATTTGTTTTGTTGTTTTGGGTTCATCTATTTGGAAACCACTCTAAAAGCCACGCAACTTTAAGCACGTGCAACAGACTTGAACTTGGTCCACCTTTACGAGGGTTCTCCCTCACCAAGTGGACGTGCGTGGCCGGATCCAACTCTTCTCAAGACCTTCAGCTCCTCAACAAGCTGGGTGGCAAGGCGCCCCACGTCGGGTGTGGGATGCGCTTCCGCGCCGGTCGCGTAGTTCGGTGCCTTTTTGGGGCTTTGCATCCGAGCAAGCCCTAGTAGAGGAGGAGTGCGGAACCATCCACGAGCGACTGAAAGTTCCACCTTGTGGAAGATGAACAATCAGCGTTGACGTGTGTGTGTGTGTGTGTGTCAACCCCTGGGCCAAGGGTTCACCCCCACCACAGTTCA